GAGAGAGAGAGAGAGAGAGAGAGAGAGAGAGAGAGAGAGAGAGAGAGAGAGAGAGAGCGAGCAACAATGGTTTTATATTAATCCAGAGCAGAAGCAACAGGTCTCATTGCAGCATGAATGGGTGAATGCAATCTCTCACACATCCTGTTTGTGGGCTTTAGGGGTAAGCTTTGGTTCAAGCAAGGACCAAACCAGAAAACAGATGACGATAACTGAAAACACTGACAGAAAATTCCAATACAGCAAATGACTCAATCTATCCCAGTTCAAATGAAACCCTTTCATGAAGCTGTCAAAAGCAATGCCATAACAAAAAAAACCCGCTTCCATAAAATTGCATGGCACAGAAAAGAATGAACTGGGGTTGGGAGTAGGAGAATGAAAGGGAAAGGAAGGATTTAAGAAAGAGGATGAGATTCAGGGATCATTTGTTCTGTTTTAAAAGTGAGTGAATCTTGAGCTCACATTCCTATTATTTGCCTCGGTTGCAATGATTTAAGAAGAGCTGAAGATAGAGAAGTAAAAAATAAGTATGTTTCACTTAAAGTATCTCATCATTGTTGCTTAGTCTCTGAGCAATGGCACATCCTCTTATTAGTGAACAGATTTGACATACTTTCTCTTTCGTTTAATTTGTCATCATTGCTTATTCTTGACGTTTTTATTATCTTTTTGATCTATTCTTTCCCCAACATCAATTTCCAAGCATTTACATTACTTTGTACACAATGTTTCAACTGTATTTATTTAGACCTCATTTGTTTAAACAATTCTTCAAGATTGATTTTGGTCAACTTCCTTTGGGAATGTGTCTACATCTCCTCTTCTTCTTTGTCCTTACAAACAATGCCACACACCCCTGCCCCTGTTAGACCTCCCAGATTTGTGTGAATTTGCTAAATACTCAGTTCCAGTATTTTTATTGGTAAAGCTCTTATTGAAGTTAAATCTTTTCTGTCTGCTTGCATTTTCCATTTGTTCAGCAGCATTCCAAACCAGAGGGAAGTATACTGTTCTTTCAAGCAATTTGTTTGCACTCCTTAAATAACAGTACACAACAAAGAACAAAACAGCATTTGGATTTTTAGTTAGCAAAAGCATGAAAAATAACTGACTTGTTTTGGCACCACAGAAAGTTGCTCTGTAGATTTTGGAGTCAGACTCCTAACAGAATGGATCTTGCTGTGTTTTCTGTGGAGAGAAAAAGAACCATTGAAGCAGGGACAGTCACAGGGACAGTCACGGGTGTTGCCTTGAGCTTTTGGAAGAAAGGCGGACTATAAAATTATCCAACAAAATTAATTAAAAATTAAAAATGTTTGCACCCAACTCCTCAATTTCCTTAACTCTTGTAGTAATTATGGAAAACAAAAACATATTGTTTTTGGGGTGTTTCAAATAAACATATTGCTTTTGGGGTGTGTCATTATGGTGATATATGCATACTTCACTAACATATTACAAAAACTTAAGAAAAGGAGGACCTCTGATTCCAAAATCTGACTTAGAATGTTGCTAAAATCAAGATTTAACTCATCATGTTACAGAGGGCTTTGGAAATAGATTTGGCAATGGCATGCCAAAACCCACTCTACTATTGTCTAACATTTCACCACTAGTAGTTAAATTGATTTTTTTTAAAGCAGAAAAACATTAAACATTAGTAACAGTATAATCCAAAGAGTGTTTTGGAACATCTGTCATCAGAGCTACCTTCTTTGGACAGAAAACCTCTTCTGCTCTTAGCATAATTCTCTGCCAGCCAAGTCAGAGGTCTCCCAGCAGAACCACTATGCTGGCTAAAAGTTTCAGAAGAGGTGATTCTAATAAAAAGATAACATGCAGGAGCTGGCAAGTTGGAACTATTTACTCAAACAAAGGGGACAAAGAGCAATACAATTAGTCACTGAACAAATATTCTCAGAGTCAAAATACCACTATTTCTGCTAGAAGAACAAGTAGCTAAAGGCTTCTGGATGGGAAAAAATATGCAACGCTTTGCTTTTCCTGCATTCATGGTTACTTTTCTTTCAGCAAATGTGCAACCAACTTTTATCCCAACTGCTTCTAGCTATCATGTGACTAACTAAGAAAAATCCTGAACAAGAGAAAGATCTTAAAAACAAATGATATATCATCATCATCACCGTCATCATCATCAAAAGTATCTCAAACCTCTCAAATTGCACTTTTTTATGTCCTCCTTCTTTAACATAGTCAAGGACTTGCTTCTGAGTACGGCCACTAAGGGGAAGGAAGGAGGGAGAGAGAGAAAGGGAAGGAGGGAGAGAAAGAAACAATTATAAGAAACAGAAAATTAATAACTAACAACATTGTTATCATCCTAATCATGGCTCTGAAAATAGCCTCTGTGCTGTTAAGTCAACTACTCTAAAAATACTATTAGAAAATCTACTGGTTTTATGATCTTTAAGAGGCTGAAATATTAATTATATTATTTGTAGCACTGGCAACAACTGAGTGCCTTAATGTTAAATGCAATCCTTTGGCTACATCCCTAGGGAGCTCATAAGCTTTCTAAGGAGATGGAGAAAACAAAAACCAAATATTGCAAAAAATATTGAGATTGGCAACAGTACTATATATTGTAAATTCCAGTAGTTTGACAATTATTTTGTTTTTTACATTTATTATTCTGCAAATTACCCCAAGAAAAGGTTTGTTATCACCATGGATTTAATGAGGCAGAGAGAAGCATCTGCACATCTACTGGTATCCAGTTGATGGCGAGGTGGGACAAAGATGGAATGTGCATCATGACATTAGTACAAATGTTACAACTTGCAATCTTACATCAAACTTCATTATGCAAGCACATAATTACCATATTTCTGTGATAACATCATGATGTAACACATATGCTCACATATAAATCCATTTATGGATAAACTGACCCTCAATTTTTTAACCAAAATACCATGAAAAATGCAATCACCTATGGATAAGCTCATCACATTTTTTCCATGGTACTCTGAGGGTCTGCTTAGTCATGGATGGGCTTACATGCAAATATATATGGAGTGTACAAGTATTTATGAAAGGTATTACCATATATACTCATGAATAAACCGAATCCAATTGGGGGTCTATTTTGGCTCCTAAAATTCTCGATTTATCCTTGAGTATATACAATATACCTATTTAACAAGCGCTTGTTCAGAAACCATTCAAATTTACAATGGCATTAAACAAGTGATGCTTACAATGGTCCTTGAAGTTCTGGCCATCAGAACTTCCTGTGGTCACGTGGCTGCCAGTTGTGATGTTCTTTGCTGACTCTATAAGCAAAGTCAATGGGGAAGCAAATGGCGACCACATGACATCCTCATTTACTCATAGTGTGGGATTTGCTTAACAATGGCAACTGGAAGCTCTGGAATTGTCATTGCTAAGTGAGGCAGCCATGTGATGTTGTGTTTTATAAAAGTGTCACTTAGTGATGGAAATTCCAGTCGCTATTGCCTTTGTGGTTTCATTTTGCTCTGGAAAAACTCTGAAATAGTTTATGAATCTGGTAACCTGTAGCAGTCCTAGTAGATTTAAGTCAACTTGGGGAAAAGTTAGTTTGAATATTAAAATTTAACAAAGGTTGTTGGGAAAGAGCATTATATTTGAATCAACCCATTCTCTCTCAAAAGGAATGAACAAACTATTTCATGATTATGGTAATGAAAAACAAAATCCTACCTGAACCTAAAAGATGAACCTCTGGTAAAAAGAACAGGTTTAGGTTTGGGTTTGGGTTCCTCAAACAGCCTGAAGAAGGCATGGTGTTCTACACAAATTTTCCAAAACGCCTTGCACAAATCCCGACTAGCCATTAGAAATTCCAATGTGTCCTGGAAGTTACTCTGAAAAATAATTAAACTAGGTTTAGTATTGGAAAAAGAAAAGGAATAAAAACATATCAAAGAGAGAGAGGTTTTTTTTTTCTTTTGAAATGAGCATTTTCCCTTTGGCTGTCTCGTTTACTTGAAGATGTAATATATTTTGTCGGCAATGAAAATGAAAACCTTTATAATTATGTGTCATGAGACTGATTCTTTGGATCTATGCTTGTTTTCCTCCTAAGTGTAGATAGCATCCAGACAAGACCCAGATGAAATAATATATTATTCCTGTTTTTTGGGTGAAAAGCAGAATAGACAGGAATTTTCTTGACATGCGAATTTTAAAGGAATATTTTGTGCAATGCCCAACAATATTAACATGACCACTTTCATTTCTTTAAAGCAATGCTTTGTAAGTTTAATTACTGGCTAAAGCCATCTTCCCCTGATACAGTTTTGCAGAGGTGTGAAGAGATTACTACTTTTTTTGTCAATTCTAAATTTGTTCTACCTCAAATTCTTTTGTTAGATTCTCCCAAAATCCCAGCAGCAATAAAGGACTATTTTGCATCTATATGTTTGGCCTTGTGTTTATGTATGTTGTATATTTCATTTATTGCAGTTTTTTTAAAGACTGATGCCTAGCTTTATTTTGTTCATATTTTTTTCTTTCATTTTAAGGCCATGCTTGCTTCTTGGGAGGAAGAGAAGGAATATTCCTGTTAGGTGCCTGGGATTAGTTGTATGTGATTGTGTAGCTAATGTATTTCTGTAATTTGCTTTGTTGTGAGTTGGTGTGGCATAGTTTTTTTCCACCTGTGAGGTAATTGCTAATGGAATGGAATGGAATAGAATAGAATACACAGAGTTGGAAGGGACCTTGTAAGTCATCTAGTCCAACCCCCTGCCCAAGCAGGAGTCCCTACATCATTTCTAACAGATGGCAGTCCAGTTTCTTCTTGAAAGTCTCCAGTGATGAAGCACAACAACATCTGGAGGCAATCTGTTCCATTGGTTGATTGTTCTTACTGTCAGAAAATTTCTCCTTATTCCCAGGTTGAATCTCGCTTTGATCAGTTTCCATCTGTTATTCCTTGTCTGGCATTCAGGTGCTTTGGAAAATAGGTTGACCCCCTCCTCTCTGTGACAGCCCCTCAAATATTGGAACATTGCTAACATGTCTCCCTTGGTCCTTCTCTTCACTAGACTAGCCATGCCCAGTTCCTGTAACCATTCTTCTTATGTTTCAGCCTCCAGTCCCTTAATCATCCTTGTTGCTCTTCTCTGCACTCTCTCCAAAGTCTCAACGTCTTTTTTATAGTGTGGAGACCAAAATTGGTTACAGTATTAAAGGTGTGGCTTTATAGAGTGGTATTAGTATTTCACATGATCTTGATTGAATCCCTCTTTAATGCAATTTAGGATTGTACTGGCTTTTATTCTGTGTTGTGCTTATTCTGAAGGACAATCATATTTTTAAAAATGAAGGTTGTGTGTTGCTTTGCTTGTGTATTTTTCTGCACTATTAACAATTTCTCACCTGTGAAATAGGCATTCTATTGTCCTTTATGACAAAAATATGTGCTTTGCAATTGGGAGTCAGATTGTAATTTCTGCCTTGTACTTGAGAATGAACTGGACATGGGCATAATGAGTGTTGCCAGGGTGAAATAGCAGTTGGAAGGCAGAAAGTTGACCTGGAAAACAGTGCCTTTTTAAGTTACTCTTGCCTTGCACCTTTGTGATCTGGAGAGAAACGTGGGGCATAGAAATATGCCAGGAATAAATGAGGACGTAATTTAAGGAAGTAATGAAAAGTATCCTAAATTACTAAAATCCCCAGAGGGTCTGCCCTTTCAGAGACTTACATTTACATCTGGCCGTAGTTTAATAAGAAAACGCTTCCTCTTAAAGCTGAGTTTCCGAACTTTAGACCAGTTGAATGCATTTATCTTCGTATAACCCTAATAATGATACATAATGAAGTAAAATAAGGTATTTGATAGTCAGTTTGCATTACTGTCCCATATCAAACAAAAAAATAATAATAAATCCCCTTGTAGATGGCTATTGGATCTTGTTAACCATGCCAAATTAACAAAGACATGGCTTATCTTACTTCTACCACAAATTTTACCAGTGATTTATGATCTGGAGAAATAGTCACAACAACCCAACCTTTGTTGTTTGCAATTTGGATTGCAAAGTAGAACCACTTACGCACCTGAAACACCAGAATGCCTGTATGAGCCACTCCTAGATTGATCTTAGTTCCTTCTCTGTCCTTAGCTGGATGCAACCGCATTCCATACATTTCCAAACGACGGGCAATTTCAAGCAGCTGGAAATCGGACTCTGCTGGTGTCTGACCACTGAAGGAGTTATAATGCATTTCACAAGGTTAAATGAAAGTAGTTTTGAAGAACCTGGCTTTCCAAGGAAATACTGTTTCCGCCTCAAACAAGCTCTGTTATTCATTGTAAGACAGAAATTAACTTTATAAGTCATATTGTCTAATACAATATCCACTAGAATATACCATTTAACAGAGTGGAGAGTTTCATATATAAGAGCAATAAACCAGAAGCATAATCACCTTGTCTTCCCGCTCTTCTGCAAAGCAACCTAATGCTTCTTCCAAATTTGGAAGATATTTATTTCTAACTTTACAAAAAGGTTCTTCATCAATAATGCAAATATTTTGTATTACTCTTCCTATTTGATATATAATCATATCCAGATCTCCTCCTCCTTTTATCTTTCTCAGACTTATTTTATAATTAAAATAAAATATCATTGGCATTCCAACATCATGCAATAGTCATGCTTAAGTACAATGTACTTACATATGATTATGATGAAATTCCATTATTTTGTCTTCTAAAGCTTCTTGTTGAGGTATATATTTGTTTTTTGCTAAGTGTTCATGATCAATGGTTTCATCAAAATCCCCAATTTCAGCTAAAGGAAAAAAATACTCAATGAATAAAAATCTAGATTTGGGGAGGAGACTTCCACTGGAAGATATAAATCATCCTGATTCTAGGAAGATTAGCAATATATTGTAGTTAGCTCAATAGTTGTCCCTCCAGAGTGTTCAATTTTTATTTTCAAGATGGCACAATGTATTTTTCATGTGAAGGTGTGAAAACACATAGATAAAATACTGGGCAACTGCAGTTGTCATGAATTTAGGAAATAAAAAAAAATTCTACACCTATTACAACTTGTTTCAAATGGACACGGACAAACACACACACTCAAACATACACCATAACCACCATAATGCCCCAAGTCCTTTTGATTTCTTACAACATTTAGAGTTTCAGTGGATATCATCAGATATGATTAAGACACATCTTGAAGATTTCCATTTGAAACTCTTATTGTAATTACTAGCTATCAGTGGTTAACCTGTTATCTTAGACTTAGACACTTAAGACACCACACAAGGCTTGATTCAATGTAGACCAACAATTATTATAAAGGGAAATCTTTTGGGAAATTCACGTCATTATGGATTGGTAAGCTTACAAACAATACAGAAATTTAAATAGACAATCTTTTCTACATAAAAAAGAATATCATTTGATCATGTGTTTATGGAAATCATATGCTGTCAGATATTTAAATCCTCTTTGTTCATTGACAAAATTATCACAAGTATATAGGATTTTTAAGAATGGTACTGTGTTATGTACTTGAGAAATATCATTTTAATTTGCATGCGTAACTAATAAGTATATCAGACAGGTACAATAGATAAAATCTGATAAAATCTATCAATAAATATGATATCAGGTATAATAGGTAAAATCTTCTTGCCAACCAGAACCATTTTTTGAAAGCCAATTCTGTTGCTAATGTCATTCTGAAAAGCAAGATTACTTTCTAAAATGTCCGAAGTCTTGAGTTTCAGATCATTTAGATGACCAACATTGTTCTTCGTCCTTTACATTTTCAGTAAACTGAAGAATTACTGGTTCTTTTGTAGGAGGATTTTGATTCCCAGCACCTCATGTAGTTTATTTTTCACTTTGTTTCATTAATCCCAATAGAATTGATCTCCAGAGTTTTAAAATTGTTAGAAAAGGAGGATGGATTTCCATGTGTCAATTCAATTTTTCATGGATTGGGATACTTGGAATATGGAGATAGAAGACTTGGAAAGTGAAATCACAGAGTTTTCTTCAGCATACTATTTCAGCATGTCATCTATTGTTCTGGGCTTCAAAAAAAATACATACATATACAGTAGCTGTGCTGATTCTATTTGTAGCGGCCATCTGATCTGCATTCAGGCAATGAAATTAATCTAAAATTCTATTTTATAATACAACAGATTTTTTGCCAGGAACACTGAAATGTTTTTTATTTGATTATTTCCAGTAGCTCCTGTTTGGGCTTACACTTGGCATATCTAAATGCAAAGCAACTAATCTTTCAGACCACTTCAAAGAAAAGAATGAAACAACTTTTTTAAAAAAAATATATACCGTAAGTAAGCACCCATAAGAAAAAGCTGGGATTTGGCTAAGGGAGTTATACAGTACATTCCCCAATTGTTATTTTGCATCCTATTTTTAAAGATTGAGTGTAGTCCCACTTTTACAGCTTCAGCCCTTAATGTTATGGGGATAGTCAGTGATTTTAGAATGTCAACAAATGTAACTCTGAAAATAAACAAGGAAACAGTTTATTAGAAATTGCTAGTTTTCCCCCTCTAAACATAGACATTGCGGAACTACCACTGTACAAATATTTTAGGTAAATATTGCATAGTATCTGAGATACAAGAATACAGGAAAGAAAAAAAATAAACTTCTGGGAACAGCTTTATTTTCAGCTTTGTAAACTATAGAAAATGTTGCCTAATATCACACTGTTCAAAATGCAGAAGGTAAAAGATGAAAACGCTTTACTTACATTGTACAATATGTGATATTAAAAGAGCAGCACTAGTGTCATTACAGGTTAGTCTTCCTTGTGCTAAATCCTGTTTAACTTGCAATGCAAATAAGTACCTGAAAAGGCACATAAAACAGAAAATATTACTAATGCTTTTATGGAGTGTTCATAAAATCAAAATGATTACACATCTCTTACTAACAACTTGCCCATACATTAGGGTTATCAGGTGGGTTCTTTCTCTGAGAACCTGATACATTATTTACATATAAAGTGTGCCTGTATCTTTTTGATTCTAGCACCTTGAAATCTTTTTTATGGAAGTCTCACTGCTGACACTATTAGAATATTTGTGGTGTCCAGTCAAGCTTTTCCCCATTTTTTGTGTAAACTTTTTTAAAGTGTCCATTTCTCAATATTTAATTTTTATGTGATTATTTGTAATTCTGAATGTGCATATTGTTCATATAACACAAATTTATCCTTACAAGAACTGTAACTATAACCAAAACATTTTTTGCACAACAAACTTCACAAAATGTTTTTACAAATTATAAGCACCCTAGATTATTAATTTCACTACTGTGACCATCAATTTAGCCCTATTAGAGGAGGGGAAAATACGACCAGGTACTTCAGTCAATGATGAAGTACAAGTTTCATTTTTGCATCATGAAAAAAACTGTCTTTTCATTGTTATTAGAGAACACCATTTGACTTAAGTATTTTTTTTGAAAGATGTCACAAGATCCAAAGATTCGGCAAGGAATATCTTAGTACAGGGGTAGGCAACCTCGGCTCTTTTATGACTCATGGACTTCAACTCCCAGAATTCCTGAGTCAGCATAGCTGACTCAGGAATTCTGGGAGCTGAAGTCCATGAGTCATAAAAGAGCCGAGGTTGCCTACCCCTGTCTTAGTACAATCACTCTGTTGATTTTGAGAGGAATAGGAAATCTCCTTGCCATCTCTCAAGCTCTGCTGATTTCTCTATGCAGAGAGTGAGAGAATGGACACAGCTGTGGACAGACATTATTCAGCAGAAGGTTACTTAAAACATGGGAAACTAGGGGTAGGAAAAGGGACGGAAAAAATCAGTGGGGATAAAAGCCTCAGTGAATGCATACAGATAAGAGCAGCCTTTCCCAATTAACTACTCTTCAGATGCCAGTGACTAATCTAGCATGCTGGGTAACAGCAATATAAAATAAACAATTATGGATTAAATTATAATATTAGCAAGTACTGACAATTCATTTTAAAATATGAGGATACTGGGCTACGGAAATAAAAATCAGCTCTATTCCCAGTTAAAAAATAAATCTGATTATAACAACAGAACAAATTAAACCAAATTTTAGATCAGTCATTCGAAAGCCTGGAATCCTTTCAAGTAAACTCCTGACCTCACTTTAAAATGGTTTATTTTAAAATTTGGTATGAATATTTTCATTCTTGTTTTGTTGATGAAGAGGAACATAAAATGGATGCTTACACCAACCTTGTTAATTCTTCTTGTAGCTGAGCATGATCAGGTGGGAAGAATTTTACCACAAATTTTAGAATGACATGCTTAGGTCCTAAGAGACAAAATGAAGGACAGCAGTGACAAAAGTCATGAATTTATTGTTTACATATATTGCATAAAATTATTTCATCCATAGTATGTCTTTAGAAGTGACTGAATAATATAAACTATGTAATATTAGTAAAAGGTTAACCAATGCAAAATCAAATGTAATATTGACTAAACCAAACTACGTCTCAGACTGAAATGGAGAGAGCAAAAGAAATGTAGCCACTGTCTTAATAATCCTAGAATCTTACTTGAAAAAACAAGTCAATTTTTTGAAGGGCAAACCAATTTATATGAAATTATCTTGCAAATACTAATCTCTGATTTTTGAGATTTTTAATAATCAAAAAGATAATTTGTAATATCTTAAAAATATGTTCTAATGGTTAGGGTTTTATTGCTTCAAGACATTCTTGACTCCTGGTAACTTCCTGGACAGGTTCCTGCAGTTTTTCTGGCCAAATGGCCAGAGGAGATTTGCATTACCTTCTTCTTCCTATGGCTGATACAGTATGATGGCCCAAAGTCATCCAGTTAGTTTCCTGTCTAAAAGGGGATTAGAACCTATAGTCTTCCATTTGTTGTGGGAGTCTTGTGCTTTAGCCATTACACTTTAATTGACTTAGTATTAAAACAAAAATGTAAGTGGTAAGACATTTTTATATACTGTATCTCCCCTGTAATGCAGCTAATGGGATCATCTGATATCTAGTATTTGTATACATTTTTCATAAATCATAAATGTCTAATATAGAAACATGAACTTCAGTCTCTGTTTTTTCTTTCAAACTTTAGACAGAGGAGCTATCTCTGTTTTACTCAAGGAAGATTTATTTCTCTGATTCTTTGTATGAAGTCACATTTTTCTCATATTAGTTTACGTGGGAAGAAATATGTTTTGGTCACCACGATGTAAAAAAGATGTTGAGACTCTAGAAAGAGTACAGAGAAGAGCAACAAAGATGATTAGGGGACTGGAGGCTAAAATACATAAGGAACGATTGATGGAATTGGGTATGTCTAGTTTAACGAAGAGAAGGACGAGGGGGGACATGATAGCAGTGTTCCAATATCTTAGGGGCTGCCACAAAGAAGAGGGAGTCAGGCTATTCTCCAAAGCACCTGAAGGCAGGACAAGAAGCAATGGGTGGAAACTAACCAAAGAGAGAAGCAACCTAGAACTAAGGAGAAACTTCCTGACAGTTAGAACAATTAACCAGTGGAACAACCTGCCTCCAGAAGTGGTGAATGTGCCAACACTGGAATTTTTTAAGAAGAAACTGGACAGCCATTTGTTTGAAATGGTATAGGGTTTCCTGCCTGAGCAGGAGGTTGGACTAGATGACCTCTGAGGTCCCTTCCAACTTTATCATCATCATCATCATCATCATCATCATCATCATCATCATCATCATCATTATTACTTTAAGAATAAAATTTTGAAGTTTGTTTGAGAATTGTGCCAAATTGAACTCTTTTTTATGGATATAGGCAATTTTTGACTACAGCATAATCTAGGTTACTTATATTCAGGCATGAGTATTAATTTTAGCCCTAGCCAAATATTTTTTATAACCTTATATAAACCTTACTCAAATAAATAGTTAGCTGTGGCCCCTAATATGACCATCAATATTCTATTTTGAAAACCATTTAGTTAATCAGGTATTTGTAAGCCTCATTCTTTGGTCCTAACATGGTCCTTAATAACTAATAATCATCTTGTATTCTTCCCCTTTGGTTTGGTCTTTTAACCTTAGCACTTTATATGAGAATTCCATAAAATATTAAATTCCAAGGTAGTAGTACAGTGGTATTCAATTGCTTTGAAAATCATAGAATTTGGTACTCAATGCATTTTGATGAGAAAATTTTGTCCCAGTACTCATTGCTTGCTTGGTACTCAATGCACAAGTTAGAATTTGTCAGTGTCGGCTGCTTTGTGATTCGCTGCATTATTCCTTGTGGGAATAAGGAATATTTCCACTGTATGAGAAAATATGTCAAATTTCGTTTTGGCCAATATGCTATTTATACTTTTTCTTCTCCTGTAATCTACATAGACAAAAAATGCTCTGCTCAAAAAATGCAGACTACTTAGTTCCTGAACGAAATATTTAAGTGATTAAAAGGAAAATGTACAATTAACAAACTTGTTTCACTACTGTTATTCAGGACTGGTTTAGTAAAGATATTACTAGAAGTAAACCTCGCCTAAGTTTGTATGCTGTAATAGTAGGCAGAAAGACAGAAGGTGAGGTCCAATAAATATACAGTATTCAAAAATAACATTTTTTTCTGTTCTAAATCAAATAAATTCTGGTGTTAACTGACACTCTTTGTCCTAACCATCTGCTGAGAGGACAGGTGCATCTAATCTTCTTTATTTGGAACATTTTTTATAGCTCCAACATTCTCAAACATTTATAGTCAGGGCAAATATGGCCTATGCATGTAAAATTCAATTATACATATTATTTTGTCTATACATTTAATAGTTCAAATAAAATCAGGGAAGGTTAAGTATCATCTGAAACTAGACCTATATTTGCACCAAAAGAAAACTGTCAACACATACTTTTGATTTGTTTTATGATAGGTTTCAAAAGATCCAGCCAAACCTGGGGGAAAAGAAAGGATACAATCACTGATGCAGCTAAAACAAAAAACAGAGCTAATTTCTAACCCAATCATTCCTAGATTGCATCATTTTACCAGATCTGAACTGTATAAATTCGGATGATCAATAGATATTGCATTCGGCAATCATTGTAGTTTTTTCTAAGTTAGATTTCATAGCCCTATTTTAATATGAAGGAGAAGACAGCTAATTTCATTGGACAGAATGCAATCAGGACAGGAGACACAAATGTGGATTACAAACTCAAGGAGTAATCATACACATAGTAGGATATAAACTGTACTAAACTGAATTTTTAGAGGAAAAAAACGTGTTAACAATAGTGATATCTTGCCAAAAACCCCACCAAACTAATTATAGCATGAACTGTTATCCACACAAATAGTAAAATTAAATAAAGAGAACCTAATTAAACAAATGAGTCAAAAACATTTTACTTGTTCGTTTATTTATTGAGGAAAATGATCCAAAGTTGCATATAGATGTGTTGAATAATGTAAACCTTTGCTTTTAGTAACTGTGCTCCCCTTTGGACATCAATAACTTCAACTAAAAGTTTCTAATAATACTCGATTGGTCCTTCATTGATCTGGAGGAATTTTAGATTCAACTCTGAAATGTTGGTGGGTTTCCTTGCATGAATTGCCTGCTTCAGGTCCTTCAACAATATTTCTCTAGGATTATTAAAATCAGGACTTTGACTTGGCATTCCAAAACATTAACTTTCTTCTGCTTCGTTGGTTATATAACTTGTGTGTTTTGGGTTACTGTCTTCCTGAATGACCCACTTCTTCTTGAGCTTCAGATTACAAACATCCTGTAGAATTGGTTGGAACAATTCAGAATTCAAAGTTCAAAGTTTCCTCTTGGTTTACAGGCCATGATATTTATCCCATCACAAATGGGATACTTATCCCATCACAAATGATACTTATCCCATCACAAATGGGCTAAGGTTCTCCTGCTGGAATGCAGTATTTGTCTTTCACCAAACACAACAAGCCAAAATTTCTAGTTTTTAGACATTACCTGGGCTCTTGAAAACATCTCGGAGTTATTACAATGATGTTGAATTGTCTCCCTTTTTACACAATCAGCATGACAGTGGACTGGTGGAGTTCAAACTCTCTGGAAATCTTTTCTAATCTGATGAGCATCAACCAGGATATTTTGGAGGTCTCAAGAAATGTTCATTGTTCAAGCCATGACACACTCCACAAACCAGTGTGGTGAAGAGCAGTCTGATAGTAAACACCCAGAATTCTGTTCTTTAAATAAGGCAGAATCTCCCACACTCATACCTGATTATCATCAGGTAATTGTCATTTGATTAAAATACTAATTTCTCAACTTCTGGTTTGACATCACGGTGTGACGGACCCAGGAAGACAGGGCTCCATCTTCCGTGTTCGATTTTGCCCCGCTGGGGACCCTAAAAAGGGTCAAAAGTCGCTCCAAAGAGGCGATGAAGGAGGGGACCCTTGTTGATCACGGAAGGGCGGTGGCCCTTCTGTTTGATCCGAGGAAGCTCTCCAAACTGACGGGGGGGGGGGGAAGACTGGCTACATTCGTGTAGACAGTCAGAAGCTGCTGACAACCAAAGGAAATAAGCACTAATGAGAACTTTTGAGTGGGAAAAACAGGATACAGATGGAACAAATGGATTTTAAGTGCAAATGCAATAGAGATATGTTTTGGCTAGAAAAATTATAAACTGACATTGATATTATGTATAATATCAGAAAAATGCAATGAAGATGTCTATATTTAGTTGTATCTGTATTAACAGTAACAAGAATTGTATTTGCCCAGTGTGGAAAAATGCATACGACCGGAAGAAGAGAGGACCAAAGAAACACTGGATGGTGTAGTATTGGAACTAGACTGAGAAAGTTAATATGCACCACTGAATTACCAATGGACCCAGACAACACATTTATTAAGTATTTATGATTGTAAAATTAGAAAATTAATAAAATGTTTACAATAAATAAATAAATAAAATACTAATTTCTCCTTCAAATAAGCTGATATTCCAAGAGGTTGACATACTTTTGCCACACAAAAATATATATCTTTGGATCATATTTTTAATAAATAAATGAACAAATATAATGTTTTTGACTCATTTGTTTAATTTGGTATTATTTATTTTTAATACTTGTGTGAAGAACAGATCATTTTCACATCATATTTATAGAGAAATATTGAAAATTCAACGAGTTTTAACTTTTAAACACCACCGTATATTGCATTCATACTAATGTATTTGTGGATGCAATACACACACAGAGAGATTCCCACAGAGTTAAATATGTTTAACTCCTAGATAGTAAAAGGGCAAACTTTTTTCTCACAAAAAG